TCAGCAAATTATGAATTTTTATGTATTTTTTGTTATTGTTACACTCCTTTATGTTCCTAGAAATGAACCCCCAACCCCACTCCCAAACAAATTAAAAGATTAAAATTGAAATAAAGCCCGGCGGAGCCATTGTTGCAAGGTTATAAATCATTGCTTGTTATCGTAGTAGATAGGCGATTTCCTTGCATTCGCCTATCTACTACGATAACAAGCAATGATTTATACTTTAGACCCCATCGAGATATGAATTACGAGTTTTATCTTTTAAATATTTGTTCCTGCGTCATGTATCTCATTTATTTGAGTCGATATCGTCTAGATTTATAGTTGTGATCTATATTTAAGAAAATTATTTACTATAAAGGTCAGCATAATTCTACTCCCGTTTCTCACATCTATTCATCTGTCGTCTGTCTTGTTTCGTTTTTGTCTGTGTTTCAGTTCTGTTGCTCGTAGTATTTTCTTGTTTCTCTTGTTTATAGCCATTATTTAGTAGTCAGTAGATTTTATTATACTTATTAATGTTTATATTTTCTCAGTTGTTTAGTTAGTTTAGTTTGTCAGCATTTAAATGTATGCATTATTCTTATCTGACGAGTTTGTTCTTTTAGGACATACTCATAAGCTACTCATGAGGGACCTTAAATCTACAAGCCTTGCTTTCAACCAAGGTCACCTCATCTTTCTATTGGAACGCCATATTCTGTTAGCTTGTTATATTAATTCATGTCATATTTGTAAAGTGTGTTATGAAAGAAACATAAATAAAACTTGAACTTGAACTTATACCATTCGAGATCTGTATTTAAAAGGGATCCGGTAACTTTGTCTCAGATTCTGAAACAAAATTCTGGATTTAGCTCATGATGCAATGATAATTATACATTTTTAGGTCAGTCAGGAACCTCATGACTTTTACAAGCCGAACGCCCGTCTTATTATCAAGATATTTATGATTGGAATTACAAATTTTGAAAACCGTTCGCCTGACGGTTTTCATAACACTACAGTCTATTAGGGAAAACGAGTATGGTAAAACCGGTCACTCAAAGATTTTTACTTTTTTGAGGCACTTCTTGATCATTTTGAAGCGCGATTTTTTTAGGGCTTCAATATTACACCATATCACAGACACTAATAACACGTAGGGCCGTGTATCTCAGATTTAACAATGTTAAACGATACCTTTAAGTGATTGATTAAGAAACAAGCAACTGAATTGAATCAAACCAAAAAGGAATTCAAAATGATAAAGAACTTACCTGACAAAATCTGTAGAGTCCGTGATGTGTATATTCTGTACAACTGACTACTCTCAACTAACTAGGCGATGTGGTCATACAGCAGATACTAAGGTTCCATGGGTACAGTATTAGAAAGCGATTAGCCCAGTACTAGTTAGTTATTCATAATTGTATAACTAAGGGTGAAAGCAAACATTAATGTAGTCTACCTTTCCATACCGCATGAAAGACTCTGTCTTAACATCATTACAATCTGAGCTTCAGAATAGGCTTCAAAATAATTAATATGTATCGTCCTGCTCATCAAGTTAGCATTGAAGTGTGGATTTAATAAATCCTGAGTATTGAAATAACATAATTGTTTGCTTTTCCATCAAAGAAAACAAAATTAAATCATTTCGTGCATTAAATATTTTGTATATACATTTTTAAATTCTTAGACGTGGATCCAGGAAGAAACTTCAGCTTTTAGTCGAGTCTGGGGGCAGATGTCCCCGTCCTTATAATTAATAACCCTTTTTACACAAAATTATGCCCCCCCCCCACCCCCGAAAATTAATCAAGGATCCGTCATTGATTGAAGTAAATAGGGCTATGAAAATAACAAAGAGAAATATCATCATGCGTGTACAGAAAGATAACATAATGAATAACAACACATTTTCCGTAACACATTAATGAGTCATCAAGAACTATTAAGTATTACTTCAGTATGCGAACTGCTCCCATGGATTGATTAAATGGAAGAGCAAGAAAGATAAATAGATAGAAAGAGAGAGAGAGAGAGAGAGAGAGAGAAAGAAAGAGGGAGAGAGAGGGGGAGAGAGAGAGAGAGAGAAAGGGGGGGGGGGGTCGGAGGAACTTGACGATTAACGCCAGTGGTGTATGCAGTGTATATATTATATTCAGTGTGTATTTTTCTTTGATTTTCTTTTAATTTTCATATTATGTTCAAGCATTCATCATTCATTCGTCATCACATCATCATCACATCATCACATCATCACAGTAAGTAATACGCTAAGACTCCGCGGGGGGGGGGGGGGGGGCATGACGTCTCCGCGAGCCTTTGTATTCTATTGTTTTTTAATGAGATCGCCGACCGAAGTTGGTGCAGCTCTCTCCTCCTGAACCCTCCCCTCGGGGTACCGGTGCCCGGTGCCATCGTCCGCGGGAGAGTCTACTCTGCGCGATTGGCTATACTCCGCCCGAGGTCCTCCGCCGTGTCGACGTCCAGGGCGAAAACGCGATATGCATAATGCATGATATGCGTGACGACAGAGATACCTCATGCATATTCAACATTACATCCGTATGAAAGAGGCACACGACAGATGACTATCAACTCGCCTAATAGGCGTAGCAAATTTACGATGCAACGGGTCGGGCTTACCCCCGAGTAAATCATCTTGCTATAGGATATGCTTTGTAGTAGCTGAACAAGCCAGGGAGATACACGGGGCTTCGCTTCCCCTCGACGTCCAAACTTAGAGACCTATTTCCATCATTATTGCCGCGATTTTTATATAGTTTTCGTGAATAGAGGTATGAAATCAAAGCTTATTTTGTGATTATTACGGCCATGTTTACTGAATTTCGATTATCATTTTCTAAAGGAAAGTTTTCACAAGAAAATCATTGGACTGACAGTTCAGTCGCAAGCTGCCTTCAGTCAACACACATACAGTACACACACAGTGCTGCTGCTGCTGTCGGCGCGGCCGATACTTTGACTGAGTGAGCTAGAGTAGAAGAGTATGGGGGGCCAAGCAGGCCAATATTCGTACAACTATACAGTCAGACCGCAGCGTGCGCGATAATGAGGCTGTACGCTGATTTTTATTCAGCGTCTCTTTGGTGATCTCGTACATTCACGTTTGCTGAAATTCACGAGATTTTCCGTGAGATTTGTAAGGGTGTACATGCAGCTGCTTTTGTGGTTGATAACTTCAGTCGACATGGCAGCACGCAACGGTAATTACTCTCGAGATTTTCAGCTTCAGTTTGATATGAAACTTGCCATGTTTCACAATTTTTAAACTATACTTTTTCACCACTTTTATTGTCATTATTTTTATAACATTTCAACAGCTATTTTGTACCCGGAATTTCGCTTTTGGTTCCTGACTGTAGAGTCGACTACACAGTTCAATTGTTCTAGGAGACAAAGTACACGCATCCATTCTTATTCTTTTTGTTGTATCTTTATTGGTACTCAGTGCTTCCATTCATGCCTTAAATTCAAGCCAATTTCAGTTCCATAAGGCTGAATCACAGTAAAATCACGGCATTACACATCTCGTGCAGCACAGGTAAAACGATGGCGTCTCAATAACTACCTGTTTTGTTGTTGTTCGTTTGATATTATAAAACCAAATGGCTCTTCTACGGTGTCTTTCAAAAAATGACAATAAAGCAAATTACATGCTTAGTCTCGAACACTACATCACCTCCCCCCAGTTGCAGGTATAATTCTGCAACGATAATTAACTGTTAACGCGCCTGACGACAAATGACTCACACTAGATCAGTTTCCTTTCTTCGGATCTTTATTCAATGTTCAATCCAACTAGTGTCGTAACAATGACAACTTTGGATCTGTAGCGTAGTCTTGTAGCGGTTCACTAAGAGAAAAGATAACAAATCTTCGTCATAAATAACATGCTTTAGTTAGAACAAAGACTATTTGTATGTTTAAAGCAATGAACAACAATATATGTCATCTATTGTAATCTGCTTGGAGCATGTCTGTAATAAACTCAAATGGATGCATTAACCTTTTTATATCAGAGTAATGAATTCTGTTTCTTCTACTAGCATCATGTATATTAGTACTATTCTGAAACTGAACCTTCTGAATCACATACATCAAGGCTATTACATCTTGATTGCTTATTAATGAATTCTTCCCACAAACAACATCATAAACGCTCTTAAATGATAACGTTTAAATTACAAAGGACCTGGGCCCCCTTTCCAGCACTACAATACATGAATGTAGTAAACAAATTAAACTGATCCATTACTATATACCCATACTGGTACATGCAAAACTTATCACAGCTTATCATTTATACTGTAACCCATAACTGGTAAATATGAACTAAACTAAATGATTACCCAACTGTGCATCTTGCACTTTCTCCAATGAAACATGAATAGTTCAACACAACAACACGGTCCCTTATCCGACCTAATTTACATGAATTAACATATTGACTGCCATTATACCCTTGGCATTCTATCTTATCAATCGTACAATGTATATATTATAAACCATATAAATGCTTCTTGTAGCATACTGAATCATTAACCATAACTGTCTGATCATATGCACTCTATACACTCCTTGGTACAACCCCCTCTGCTTAAGGCCCTTTTACACTTTCACGGATTGCATCACGGATCATCCCGGATCGTCGCTCCGGGATCATCCGTGTTATCTCCGGCATTACCGTGTATACACCGGGGAGGCATCCGGCGTGATCCTTGGCGTACCGGCATATCCGGGGAAAAATTAAGCTTGCTTAATTTTTCATCCCGGAGTTCGCGGATGAAACAATCCATCCTCTTCCCTGTAGGCACCGTGTACCTCCGTGTAGCCGCCGAATACATCCGGGACAGTCCGTGTGGTCACCGGGAGGTCCGTATTAACACCGGTTTCATCCGGGTTTGAAATTCCGTATATCAAATGAGCGCCTACAAGCTCAAGTCACCCGTCAACATTCCGGAGATATCCCAATAGACAACGTACACCTCCGTGTAAGGACCGTAAAAGTACCCAGTAGCCTCCGTGCTCTTCCTTGAAATCCGTGTTAGCTCCGTATGCGTTTCCGGCGTGGTCCGCGTTGCTACCTTGTCTGTCCGTGGAGACACCGTACTTGCCCGTGTATACACCCAGTTCGGAACGTATCCACACCGGCATCGAGAAGAAATCGTGGAGTCGCACGCCGGAACACCCCGGATTAAGATCCGGGATGATCCGTGATGCGATCCGTGAAAGTGTAAAAGGGCCTTTAATAGCACACACATTGTAATGTAACCCTATTCATACAATGCGTTTCATAGCCCCATAGCAACACATAGCAACACATAGCCTTCTGTACATAACGTTGCGTTAATCATCCAAAATCAACTCACTATTTGCACATAATTCACAGGAATAAACAATCGTATGAAACAACTATTTTCCTATATTTGACAGTAAATCAGTTATCTACAGGAATCATGTATCGTAGCTTACCAACTATTTGTTCATCCGGAGCAAAGTCATGAATTCTGTGGTAACAAACATCAAGTCTGATGCCTTTGACTAGGCTTTCTGTTGCACATATTTTCTTAACGCCACCGATGGCGCTATTCAAGTTTGGCGCCGCCACAGATGGCGCCATACAAGTTTCGCGCCGCTACATTACCTTTTTAAAGGAATTGGAGCACATTCTGTACACTTGTTTGAATGTGTACTATATAAGTTTGGATACTTATGGAAAATATTTTTTAAATATGTCTGTGTTTATAATGTATGAGACAATGTACTACATGTATGTTTATACTGTAAGAACAATTGTGTTCCTATTCATCATTTTGTATAATTATGAGGATCTGAATAAAGGCAAAAAAGCTTTTCAAAAAAATAAAATTATATGACTTTAATATTGTGATAATTTCTTGTAATGTGAATTCATGAGGAAGGAAATAAAATATCAGTAAAACAAAAATAAAAAATAACTTTATACCTTCCTCTATTGTTGTTTCGATTATAAATTGTTATATGAAAGAAAAATGTATATACAATCATGTATAATTTGAGATTTTCCTATGTTTATTGTTCTTTGATTAATGTAATTCATGAAGTGTTTTGTATCGAAGATCTTGTTTTATATGACTTATTGTGATAATTTCTTGTAATGTGAATTTATGAGGAAGGAAATAAAATATCATTAAAAAAAAAATTAACAAAGCAGTGGTCAAGACTTAACTGTAATTAACATGTAACTCCAAATATCAGTTAAAATTATAACAAACCTCTTATACTAAGATAAACCTTAAATGTGCTACCATCAAACAAAAAATACCCTTTTTTGGATTATTACACATATCAACTGATGTTCACTGTTACCTTTCAATGCTTAATACCTTGTTAATCCTGTTTTATTCAACAGAAATGTATAAATAAATCATAATAAACTTAAACTTCCAATTCTTTGTGAATTTGTCTTTCTTTAAGTAGTATCATCTGTACATAAACTTGTTTAACTTTAACCATACTTCTGATTCTGAAACATATGTATACATCTATCAACAAACAAATAAACAATCAAACAAAATATTCAACGTCAAACATTTCTTTCCAAATATCTACCAAAGTAGGTAGTATCAACTCAGTCTGATCTACAACTATATGCTCGTAACTTTTGACGTATACTCTAATTTGCATATCGATCTTCGGTATAACCTTTTTTTACCTTATGATTGAAAGTTTAAAAAAAATTAAAATTTTTATGCTCTGAACCACATTTACTCTCTTGTTGTTGTTTTTTTTCTTCTTTTTTTCTGTTTTTAAATGTAAACATGACTAAAACATCAACATCACATTCTTCTAATGAAATTATATCCTGGCTCCTTGGCGGGGAATCGAACCCCGGTCTTCCGCGTGACATGGCGGAGATACTCCGGACACTATACATGAAATTGTATACTTAAAACTCTCGAAATCAGCAATTTCCATACAGTAACAAAGTTTAATACTGCTGTGAATATACCTTTGGTTTATACAAAATAAACCTTGATCTAAAAAAGACATTCCCAAATCAAAGTGATTAAATGCATACTCTGTAACAGAGTTATATCATACTTTCAGCTTCATTCATAAAGTCATAATATATGACTGTTGGCATACACGTTAAATCAAATTAACATAAACCATTATAACTTTTCAAATAAATGTAAAATCATCCTTCATCTTCAAATAAATGTTTGCTTGGAAATTCTACTTTATCAATCTCCTGATTTGGTTAACCATAGCAACTTTGCTCATTTAAACAAAACCTGAATTTGCATACAAAATACAAACTTCTTAACTCTGCCTTAAATCATCCTTTGTAGCATTTTTGAACAAATTCAAATACCATCCGTTTCTTAATCATATGAACCTTTATCAAACAGATTGAAACATTTTTCCTTTTCAGAACACATGCATCTCAAACAAATACTCAATATCAAAAGACAATACATGTAATAAAATGATCATCTTAGCGGGAAATGGGTCATAAACATGTTTTAACTCTACTCCTTGACTCTCTTCTGTGCATTTTAAAGTCCATAGAAATAAATAACTTTCTCTCTGTAAACCGAGTCCATAGGATATTTAATTCAGTCTATTCATATCTTGCTTCTCCAACTATTTCTCTTAAAGTCATCATCAGATTTCCTTCACTGTTATTGTTTTTAAAGTTAAATTATTACTTGTAAAGGCATCACCTCGTCGACTTGTTGCATTCGTGTCATAATTCAGGCATAATACTGATGATGTCAGATTTGATGAAACGAAGATAAATGAAATCCCCGCGTTAACAAGATCCTTCTCTTGGCTCAATGAACTTCTCCACATTTAAAGAACTTATTAATTGTAGGCAGCGCATGGCGTGCACCTACTATATCACAAACTGAAATAAAATGGGTGAATCCATTACACAGGCACTTTCTGGCTTGATGACAGCGTTACACAAAATAATTCTCCTTGATTTATCAATAAATCGCTCACAAACTCTGGAACTCCATATGAGTGCTTGGCTGAGATTTCAGACTCGTTGAAACACATAACATATTTACAAATGTGCTCTACATGCACATACATTCTCAAACTGAGATCCATTAAATCACTTTTCCGGCTTCGATGGCAATTGTTGCTCCAATAAAATACACAATTTCGTAGTTGGTCTCATCAATGTTGTGGTAGCCGTTTTGACCTTCGCTCGTCGCACCAGCCCTGTCTTGTCGGGGGTAGACCTCTTCTATGCGACCCATCTGCCAGAAACTGCGTGAAAGAGCGTGGTCTGCTACGAGGACGACATCATCGACCTGGAGATTGCGTCTCGGTTGTAGTCATTTCTGACGCTCTTGGAGGGCGGGTAAATATTCCCGCACCCATCTCTTCCAGAATGTGTCAGCAATATACTGGACCTGTCTCCATCTGCGGCGGGCGTAGACATATTTGGGGATGAACTCACCGGGAGGCCCTCTGGGTGACTTCATCAGGAGTAGATCGTTGGGTGTGATGACCCCCAAGTCATGTGGGTCATCTGATGACTGCGTCAGTGTTCTGCTATTGATTACTGCCTCAACTTCACACATGAGGGTACACAACTGATTATCATTCTGGCATGACCTCATGTGCTGCTCAGTAAGTAAGGCCTGTAGAATTTTTCTTATAGTCCTTATCTGGCGCTCCCAGACGCCACCTAATTGGTGAGAAGCTGCTGGGGTGTTGAAACTCCACTTGATGTCATGATTAGAGTGGAAATTCTGTAGTTCAGTCACATCCATGTCCTTTAGCGCCTGTTTTAGCTCATTACAGGCACCCACTAGATTGGTCCCGTTGTCAGACGTTATCTGCTTCACAGGTCCTCTTCTGCTGATGAATCTGCGGATTGCATTTATGCATGAGCTAGTATCCAAGCTGGTGGATATTTCAATATGTATAGCTCAACTAGACATGCAAGTAAATACCACCCCATATCGTTTTTGAGTACTCCTACCACACTTAACTTCGAAGGGGCCAAAATAGTCCATTCCAACATTCGTAAATGGTGGATCTCCTCCTTCGACTCGAACTGACGGCAGGTCTGTCATCATCTGCTGGCCAACTTTAGCTCGGTTCCTTCTGCAGATTAGGCATTTTCGAGTCAGTTTCCTTGTCATTGCACCTGCTCCCAAAATCCTATACTTCTGGCGCAGTTCAGCCAACATGTGGTTACGTCCTTGGTGCCCAATTTGTCTGTGGATGTGTTGCAGGAGGAGCATTGATACATGATGATAATTGGGTAAAATTATCTGATGTTTAGCGTCTGCAGTGATTGATGCATATCTCAGCCTCCCTCCTACCCTCATTAATCCATCTATTATCTCAGGATCTCAGGAACAAATGGTGGCGACAGAAAGCATGGATTTTCTAGCATCTAAAGCTCCAAATTTTGATTCGGATCGTATTAATATCAATGTCTATATTGTAATTTGTGTTTTCGCCGTGATTTTGAATACCATCGTACTATTTATAATCCGTCAACAAAAGGAACTCCAGGACAACAAGTTCTGGCAACTTCGGACTTAATTCTGGGTATAACTAGGAGCTTGTGGGACTATTTCTGGTTCTCACCTGATAACAGTCATTGTTCTATCATTAGTTTGATATTTCCGTACGTCAATCACGTCTCGATATGGTTTATAATGATCTCTCTCTCTCTGGAATCAGTTTCAATCTCTTTCTCCTTGTCACAAGACCACTGCGCTATTACACCATTGTCACCAGAAGAAGATTTGTCATTACTCTCACATCAGCCCTTGTGACGACCATGCTGGTCTGTGGAATCTACCTACCGATTCCAGAATCACCATTCAATCAACTTTTAATAAACCGTTGCTTACGTCGAGATACCAGTGCACAATTAGAATGGGCGTCCATCCTTCACACGTTGTACCTTGTTGTCCCTGTTTGTGCAATTCTCACTTTCACGACACAAATCTGCATTCGACTTCTCGCAATTGCGCGCCAGAAGTTCAACGCGGTAGGCAATGCCGTCAATCAAATCGATGACGACTTCCTCAAGGATCGTGGTCAACCATCAACGTATCCTTAGATGGTAGTTGGGCGCGATCTCGTTCGCCGGCAGGTCCGACAACGCAACAGGCGATTCCACACATTCAAAG